ATGTTTTTCAGTCTGTGACAAGGCAGCAAGTGTTATTTCATAGACTTAAAACTTAATTCCTTCCTGGTTCTGTCTAAGAGTCAGTTGCTTTATTTTATCAAGGCTTTGGCTTGCAGTCTGCATGTGGGGCACACTTAGCCTACAGCTTTGATTTAGCAAGCTGTGATGAAATCAAATCTTGTATAGTTTCCCTGAGTAATACTGCTTACCCATGGAGACAATTTTAGTGTATCAGAGAGAATATGGACCTTACCAACCTGTGTAACCTCCTTGAATAATGACAGTTACTGCAGTTGACCTCTTGTGAGAAGTGGATCCGTTTGTGTTTTTATTCTGTGGCCTGAATAGAAGATCTCACAGAATAGGCACTGTTCGCTGGACGTGGGAATTCTCCCTTGCTCTGACTCATGTAGAGCAGTGGGGAGGGGGAGGAAAATGGGCTCCACAAACCCAGTATCCAGTTTTGTCATTGTAAAAGAACCCCTTTTGGATCTGAACTTTGTCCATTTAATATTCCAGAGGGTATTTAGAAGTTTGATAAAAGTCCACAGTAGTGCTAGAGAAAGATAAGGCTCGCTATTGTACTAAAACAATGTTGTGGTGCCAAGACAGTATATTTATGCTTTTTTGTTTCTGCAAGACCAGCCAGTGCCCATCAAACTTGCATAATTTGATATTATTCTAAGTAAAGGAAAAAATACCCAATCATTCTCTAGCTTGCCATAAAAATGCTTTAAGCTGAGTACACAGCTATGTTACAAACCAGTCCCTTAGCATGATGTGTTGCTTCACAGCAGCTGGGAATAATACAGTGTGGTGAAATTACCATCGTGGCGGAGGCCAAGATTTTTATGTGTAGAATAGAAAAGATGCTATTTTTTCCCCCCACTATAATCAACCATTCTTTTACCAACATGTTTTCAGATGTTTCTTGTAGAGCTTCATGATAGTTTGTCAAAGCTGGATGAAAATTTCCATTCCACCATTGTGGTCAGTCAGTTTTTAGCCTGCATAACATGAGTACCGTTGCCAGCTTTTGCTCCAAGCATGCAAAGGCAGAGTTGCAAGGAGGAAGGCAAAGCCTCAGTAAGCTTTGGGAGCTACTGGGGAACTGCAACATCTTTGTCTCAAAATCTGCTTCACAGGGGCCAAACCACTCATTTCCTCCAGCAGATAAGGAGGATGCTTTCTCTCCTTGGGTTGAAGCTCTGTGACGTTTCAGATGAAACAGTACAAATGTATATTTTAAGTGTACTTTCTCCAGGCTTGCAGCTAGCACATTGCAAACTTATCTCAGAAAACGTGAACTTCGGGACTAGCTAAACTGGTTAAGTTAAAAAGAATTGTAGACTTAAACCACCTGCTAGCGCAGCATGGCTTGTGCCTGAATTGTGTGAAATGGGGCTTTTAAGCACACTGAACAGGTATTAAATTGGAAGTGGGGGTGTTCTTCCCTCCTGTTCAAGAGCATTCTGGTGGTTTTGAGATGTGTTGTACAAACTCTGAGGACCCTGCTTCTGTCAGAGCTCCACAAGAGAGACAATGTAAGGCAATGTGCATCTCCCCTCTCCCCTGAGAGGTTTCAAGGCGGTGAGTCAGGACCATTTTACACAGATCTCTCCGTATGCAATTTTATTTCTACTGCTGATGTGATCCTTTTGTGGATCTTGCTTGACCTCCGTAGTTACAAGGGTTGGTCTGTCAGACCAGAAGCTACCTAGACCTTCATTTTCTTATCCATCATTTTCTAATTCTTCACTTTTAGGAATTAATCTATCAGATGTAAATGTGGGAATAAATCTCTATAATCTCTTGCTTTAAGGCAGACTTCCCAGATTTAGTCATGCAGAGAATCCAGCAAATGAAAGCAGTTCTCTCAAGTAGAATCCATTGATTGTTCATTGCGATTTCAGCTCTATTTTTCAGGAATTTCCAGTGTTTTGAATTCATGAATTGAATGCATTGAAATAATTTTTTTTAAATACAGTCAGGCTGTGCAATTGTTTTCATATTTATTGTATTTTATATTGTAATTGAATACCAAAGTCAAAACACTAGCTTTCATCTGTTATACTGTAACTAAAAAAGAAAGCAGTGGAGTTAAAGTGAAGAGTTCTAACTTGAACAAAATGAAATATGTGGATTTAATGAAAATTGAATGTTTTAATTGTATTCCCTCAGCTTTCTTTGTGTGACATCACTCTAAACAAAGGAATGCCCAGAGTACTGATTTTAGTAGGAGCTTCTTGTATGACTTTTAATACAAAACATAACTGACCTGAAATTTCTTGTTGGGAAATCGAATGAAAAACTTCTTACCAGTGAATGCAGTGTGACTGTGGAAGAGACTTACAAATCTCCTGTGAGAAGTATGCTAGAAGCAAAGCAACTTAGAGTGTACTGTAAGGGAAAAAAAAGGAAACTTTCTGTGAAAATGGACAAGTTTCATAAGCCCTTTTATATTTCATGCCTGTGATTTGAGTTTTGTTTTATTTCAGCCGGAAAGAAAAGCTTTATTCTTCCAGGGCAGTAACAGCATGGGTTTGTAAGTGCTTAGCTTTCAACAATGGAGTACAATATTTTGGTTCACCATTAAAACTGCAAGTGTTTTTCTGACTTCTTTGGCATAAATGATTTATTAGTGTTGACACTCTGGGGTTGTTTGTGAGTAGAAGGCAAAAGCTGAGGTTTTGCTCCTTCTGGCAGATTACACGCAAATTATGCAAATCACCATAGTGCAGGTTATAACCTAATTATGTTCTACATCTTGAACAATGATCGTTTCTGTAAGGGAAAGCTGCCTAGCATTTGAGTTGCTAATGTTTTTTTTTTTAATCCTTTTGTATTCTACCAAAGAAACCATGTTGAAAAGTGATAGTATTTGTGCAGATTTTGCTGCTGTGCATCTTATCTGCTTGTGTTTCTAAAATACGTGAAAGCAACCTCACAGACACATTGCCAGTATTTCTGTGGTTAGTGCCTTTTCTGGTGCAAAACTTGATTTATTTATTTTTTAATAGAAACCTAGACTGGTTTGGGTTGGAAAGGACCTTAAGATCATCTAGTTCCAGCCCCCTGCTACGGGCAGGGACACCTTCCACTAGAGGAGGTTGCTCCAAGCCCCTGTGTCCAACCTGGCCTTGAACACTGCCAGGGATGGGGCAGCCACAGCTTCTATGGGCACCCTGTGCCAGCGCCTCAGCACCCTCACAGGGAAGAGCTTCTGCCTTAAATCTAACCTGAACTTCCCCTGTTTCAGTGTGAACCCATCACCCCTTGTCCTGTCGCTACAGTCCCTGATGAAGAGTCCCTCCCCAGCATCCTTGTTAGCCCCCTTCAGACACTGGAAGCTGCTCTGAGATCTCCACGCAGCTTCTCTTCTCTAGGCTGAAGAGCCCCAATGTTCTCAGCCTCCTGTCAATACTTAGCAATAAAGTCTAGCTTCCCTCCCAGAATTTCATGGAAGACTAGAAAAATTTAATGTCTTTGTTTTGTCTAGGTAAGTCTAACCTGCAAATTCAAGATACTTTCTAATCTTATAGCTCAGTTCTTTATATGCAAATTTATAGTCTGCTTGGGAGTTATTTTTTTTATACGTAAACCATATGTATTTTAGGAATGAGTACATGGTTAGTGCATTTTGCGCCAACATTTTCTTTATCTTTCGTGGCAGTTGAGGTTCTTCCCTTTAATGTATTCATGTGTCTCAGTTGCATTAATAAGTACTTTTTATTGTGTGTCTGTATTCTGGACTCAAAGCAAGGCAGCTCCACATAGTTCCCAACTGACCTCAGGAAAGTGGTGATTCTAACTGTGGAATGACGGCAGTTTCAGTCCAGAAATCATTCCTTTGACATCAAATGGCTGAAATTGCCCAATGAGGCTTTTTTTTTTTTTTTTTCTCTCTGAAAAAATAACATTATAACCTTTGGCTTAATTCCTTTCTTTTTTTGCTATAGATATTTGTGTGCATATATATAGATGAGCATATGCATATACATCATATTGAATTGGCTGGCACAACTACTGGATTAACAACAGTGAGACAGACTTTCCATTTCCAGTTACACATTGAAATACACATCAAATCAATCAAGACAGAGTTCATATACTGAAGAAATGAGTCTGATTCATTGTCCACAGCATCCACAGCCTAAGAAGACCCCTGCTAGCCTGACCACAGTTGATTTCCCTACTCGTGTGTTTAGCACAGAAGAAGGATCAAACTCCCCAATCTGAGTCAAGGTTGAGGTGTGGTTTCAGGCCAGTACTGGGGGTTGTGCTTTGTTGTATCTGAGGTTTGAAGGGAGATATCCGATTTCAGGACTGCCAGTACTTGATTTATACACATGAATGCACACTTATGGCTTATGGTAAAAAAATAACCTTCCTATCACCTATGTGCTTTTCAACTTTATTTGCATGTCAACAGGAGCTGAGGAATCTAGCTGCATTTTTAAGGTTTTTTTGGTCTTGTTTGATACTTCTCACTTAAATTCAGCATAAAAACTTCGATTTATGTGGCATCTCACAATGATCTAATAGAAATAAAAACAGTGCTACTTGGTTTATTTGGGCTGCATGTCCTTGGGTTGTATTGCTCACACCTTATTAGTCTTCAGCAAATGTTCCACTTTAGTTTTGGCAGGTCGCTCAGAACACCATTTCCTTCTTTTCATTCTGGTGGAGTCCAATTGTTCTCTGCTTACACTACACTAGCCTTTCCCAGAATTTAGCCTGGAGTTTTTATACACTGGGGAGTTCCCAATGTGTTTAGATTATAAAATAATTTCCTAGTGTGACTGTGAGGGAACCATGCTTTCAGATAACACTGTCAAACTACATTTCGGTGATGGCAGTCTGAATTTCTTTGCAGTGTTTTGCAATACAGACATGATGTATACAGTCATTTTGTCTCTTGAAAGTGATATGTTTTCAACTCGTGCTCCCAACTAGTTAGGATTGTCCCAAAACTTTTTTCTTGTTCTGTTTCTCAATAGGTTTGTGTAGATCAATTGGTGTAAGCAACTTTCTTATCAGTCATCTTGAGCAACTAAAGGAAGACTGTGTGATTACTCCACATGTTAATTAGGTGAGTGGTTAAATATACGTCAAGTGTTTGGGGTTTGGGGTTTTGTTTTGGCTTTTTTGGTTAATAATCTCATCCCCGTGCCTGTGCCTGAAAGACTACACCCAAACTAGCATTAGTCATACAATTTCTTCTCTTTTCTGTATGCATATTGAAAACCATTTAGGAACATGACCTGAAGGAGGTGCAGGAGGGCGAAGTCCTTCTTCCTTGCTTTTCCCCAGTTTCTCCCAAGCTACTTGGATGTGGTTCATTGTAAGGCAGAAACAAATGGTCTGTGTGCCAGTTTTTGATGATAAAACAGTTTAGAAATGCAATTAAAGGAACACTGGACACTTAGCATCTCCAAAGTGAACAAAGTTTTGGAGAGCCTGTGTTCAAATACTATCTATAATTCCTCTGAACAGCAGGGAAAGCCTCAGGTGATTACATGTCATGCTAGGGTGCTGTTTCCCCTTCTTTCCTCTTATTTCATATTCATATTTCAAGGTCAAGATTTTAAATTCAGTGAACTCCTCATTGAGGTACTGCAAGAGCCCTGGCAAATGTTTTAGGTGCCCTGGGCAGATAAAAAATGCCACCTCCGTACCAACAGACTTCCAGGATACTGCCAACTCTTCCTTTCAGTTTTCTGCCCACAGCTGTGCTGGAAGTTCATGCTCCCTTTCCTAGCACCTCCTGCCAGTGAAAGCATGGTTAATGCTAACCCAGAGCTGGGAACTGGAATGGATACTTTTGCCCTTTGTACACATGGTGAGGATTTCTGGCAGCTGTTTATTGGGAATGTCATCAACAGCAACAAAAAACTTGCTCAGAGACTTTTGGAACCTAATATCTCTGATGCTTGCTGTCCACTACACTAATGGTTACAAAAAGACAATTATGAGTAATAATGATAAATTAATGTAAACCCATATAAAATAGTCAATTATTTAAAAGAAGCCATTGAAATGAGCAGGTTGATGACCTCAGAGGAGGTTCCAGTGTCTGAAGGGGGCCACAAGAACGCTGGAGAGGGACTCTCCATCAGGGACCGTAGCGATAGGACAAGGGGTGATGGGTTCACACTGAGACAGGGGAAGTTCAGGTTAGATCTAAGGCAGAAGCTCTTCCCTGTGAGGGTGCTGAGGTGCTGGCACAGGGTGCCCATAGAAGCTGTGGCTGCCCCATCCCTGGCAGTGTTCAAAGCCAGGTTGGACACAGGGGCTTGGAGCAACCTGCTCTAGTGTGAGGTGTCCCTGCCCGTGGCAGGGGGTTGGAACTGAATGATCTTAAGGTCGTTTCCAATCCAAACCAGTCTGGGATTGCATTTGATTTTTGGGATTTCTGTGAGTGTTTAAGAATTGGTGAGTTTGCCAAGATTCAGTTGGATCTCCTTTTCAGAAATAGACATCTTCAAAGCCTCACAGAGTCTGACATAACTTGTTCTTGTGTATTGAATGAGAAAGCCTTTTGGTGTCCAATTAAATCACTGCAACTTAAAGAAACTTAATCTTGGATTTGTTTTGAAATTTCCTCTTGCCCACAGTGTCAAAATGTCACCAGTCTTACTGTGCCAGTGCTGTTCAGCGAGAACAATTGTTTCTTGTAGCTGCTTCATAGCATCTCTTTTTCTGTGGCTGAAAAAGAAGAAACCAAAATTCCTAACCACAGCAATACAGGGGCCTGGGAGGGTGCTCCTGCTGTATTCAGACAGTTGTTTCTTTAAGGTGATGTAGAGCACTGTTCCAAATTCAAACCAAGCCAACAACCATGAAGTATCTATGCGAAGTGCTGTACTATGAACAGGTTTGTTACAGCGTTAGCTTACACATTTTCAAGTTATAGGAATCTTATAAGCCATCATTCAGGTTATCCTCAAAAGAGTATTTATTGTGTTTCTTGCCTAGTGTGGAGGTTGCTGAGTCTGATGGTGAGATTCCTTACGGATTAGCAAATAACTAACAAATTCCTAAATTTAAATTGGGAATAAAAGTGCTATACTGAATCCTTATTTTACTGTCCGGGATTTATAATACAAAAGATCTTTGCTGTATTTATGTCTGAACCAGCATACTGTTTCAATGAACTTATTTCTAAATACAAACCATTTGCAAATAATCATTGCATACAAAGTCTAAATATTTAAGGAACAAGTGGAGGAAAATCACTTCTCTCTTAGCTGTGTTAAAAGTTGGATATTCAGGGAATTCAGGGTGTTCTTACAATCCCAGCAGTTCGTATGATGTTAAAATTGGGAGGATTTTCTGTGAAGAGGAGGAAGCAGGCAGGCAGGAGAAAGGAGGATCTTTATTAGACTTCAGGAGTCTCTGCAAACCAGGTAGGGAGCAATGCTTCTGTTTGAGAAACCAAGTTGTATATGCTGCCTCCCTTCTCTGGAAAAAAACTCAGTATTCTCACGGATTTTAAAGCAGTAGGAAAGACCTTTCTTTTCAAGAATACAGTATTGTGAATGTATTTAGTAGTAAGTAAGCATCTTTTAACACTACAATCCACTATTAAAAATACTGCTAAATGCTGTGTAAAAATGATGAAAACTATTATATTTTAGCATCATGTAGAATGAAACCGACACCATAGAAGTTAGAGGTTTGTATTCCAGAATCTGTCATTGTCTTGGCAGTAATAAGTTTGGATTTATGCTTAAGGAAGGCTTTGAAGTCTCTTTGAAGGCTCTTATGCCTGTTTCACAGAGGGAAAAATACATTATATAAGCATTTAATTAATATATATATTTCATTTAATAAAGTGACACACTGAAACCAAACTGTTCTTTTCTGAATTCTATGTATTTCTACTTTTATAGAAATGCACATTACTGTTTAAGGACCTTTAGGAGATTTAGTAATGTTCATAATATTACCGTAAATATTGAGCTTTATTATGTAACGTTGTACAAGGTAGAAATGTATTTCAGTATTTTGAGGCATTAGGAAACAACCCCTTCGTACATAAGCCCACCTGAACTGTTCCTCTCTGGTGCATCTAGGCTTATATTTTAGTTTTATGAAGAGAAATCATTGTAAGGCTGCATTCCCATTGAGAAACTGACTGAAGTCCAGATGAAGGGAAACTATATCAGGTTTAAAGAACCCACAGCAGGGTAGAAAGAGTAAGGATTTGGAGGACCACCTTGCAAGGTATGACTTTCTAGATTGATGTGTCTGGATTGTTATTCGGCTCAGCTTTTCCCCATTGTGCATGAGAGTGATAAAAGACAGTGCTTGGAGTTCTCCTCCAGCTGACCAAGTAGCAGCTATGAAGAGGTCTGTGATGTGAATTGCAAACTGATTAAAGAAATGCCAGTTTTTATGCACAGATCACTCAGGGTAGAGTGCCAGGAAAGATCAAGATCTTCTCTACTACCGTATGGATCATAGAATCCCAGACTGGTTTGTGTTGAAGGGACCTTATAGCTCATCCAGTTCCACTCCCCTGCCACAGGCAGGGACACCTTCCACTAGAGCAGGTTGCTCCAAGCTCCTGTGTCCAACCTGGCCTTGAACACTGCCAGGGATGGGGCAGCCACAGCTTCTCTGGGCACCCTGTGCCAGCCCCTCAGCTCCCTCACAGGAAGAGCTTCTGCCTAAGAGCCCATCTCAGTCTCCCCTGTTCTGGCAGGTTAAAGCCATTCCCCTTGTCCTGTCCCTACAGGCGCTTGTCCAAAGCCCCTCTCCAGGTTTCTTGGAGCCCGTTTAGGCACTGCAGCTGCTCTGAGGTCTCCCCTTAAGGAGCCTTCTCTTCTCCAGGCTGAGCCAGCCCAGCTCTCTCAGCCTGCCTCCGGAGCAGAGCTGCTCCAGCCCTTGCAGCGTCTCCATGGCCTCCCCTGAACTCACTCCCACAGCTCCATGTCCCTCTTGTGCTGCTGCCCCAGAGCTGGATCGGGGCTGCGGGGGGGGGGCTGTGCCCCAGAGCACAGCAGAGGGGCAGGATCCCCTCCCTGAGCTGCTGCTCACTCTCTGGGGGTGCAGCCCATCACACGGGGGGAAGGGGGGGGGTGGGGTGGTGGTGTATCTGGGCTCAAGCACTCACTGAAGCTGGGTCATGGGGAGCTTCTCCTCACCCAGCACCTGCAAGCCCTTCTCCTCAGGCTGCTCCATCCATATGACATACAGCCCTCGCCTGGGAAAAGTTTGGTGACTAAAATAGCAAGGGTGGGGCAAGCCAGGAAGCAGGAGCTATTATTTTGAGGGGAAGCACATGCTGGCCACTGACCCTGTCTATGCCTCTTCTAGCCCAGGGTACTAGTCCCTTGCATTCAGACGCTGCTAGAACCTTTCAGACAGTTTTCACTAGAAAAATAATTCCAGAAGTGCTTTTTTTTTTTTTTTTAAATGCATTTGATTATTTTAGCAATACAGTTAAGAAGAAAAATCCTGGCTGATACCAACACACAACCAAAAAATGAGTCCAAAAACTTTGGGAGTCTCTTGGTTTAGTGAAAGGCATGAATTGATGTGTGATTCTGCTTGGAAAGCAGGAAGGTGACATGTCAGCATGCTGTTCTTGCCTTAAATACTTCAGGTGTAACTTTGAACTGTGCTGCCTGTGAATCTTATTAGACCAGCAGGTAAATTCTGCTTGCAGTCATACAAACAGTAAGTGCTGAATAAGTTGCCTGATGCCATAAGGGGTACTGCAGATTTTTCAGCATTTGATCCTAAATTCACTGTTCTTTACTTAGTATTTTCTAGGCTATTATTTGTTGCACCTAGTGCAAAGAACATCTACTAACATTGTTGATTACTGTTGTAATAATCGAGTAATACACCCTGCTTGCTCTTTTCTCCCTCCATAGTTTTGCATAAATGCAATGAGAATAGTTTCTAGTCAGCTCAGGTGCAAATAACTGCATGATCTCAACACTGGCCTTACACATGTCAACATGAAATACAAAGGCTACTCAAAGGTCAAGAAACATCAAAGGGTGAAGACATGGATGTCTGCTGCTTGAACCTTGTTCCCAAGTCCACCTAGTAATTTAGATCAGAGCAGCTTTAGGCTGACTCAGCCCAGCCTTCCAGGGGCACGTTTTTTTCTTAGTGCATGTTGAATGACTGCCAGCCTATTGTTCCTGACTATTGTTGTCTGAAAAGACAACATGTCCTAAAGATGAGAAACAGGAAATGTTCATTTGTCCTCTTTGTGGCACAAGGCATTTTCCAGATTCCACATGCTGAGGTAATTTTTCAGAAGAGGATTTTCCTTCAGAATGCGCAAGAGTTGGATCACTGAGACAGTGGTGACACACTCACAAAACTGTATCACATGCTTATGTGTTTTAAAAGATAAAACGCTACACGTTTTCATCTGAATGCAGAGGAACTGCGCTTCTTACAACACATAAACTGAAATACTTATTTAAATAGCACATTAAGGAATATTGCAGAGGTTCTTTTTGGCTTTTGCTCCATGCCAGAATACATGGCTCTTCTGAGATCTTTTCCAATAACTTCTGTTTTCTTTTGCTTCCAACAACTATGTCTTTGTAGCTTGTTACTTTTCCTCTTTTTAAGTGGTTCTTGGCAGTTCATGATCTTCCTTCTTACAAAAGGTCTCCTTCACACTTCATTCCTCCGCAGCATGACTGCTTCCCTGCATAAGCTCTTGGTGACAGCACACACAGAATACAAGATTTTTCCATGTACAATCCATGCCAACAGGCTTTGCTCCTGAGGTCAGTCCCTTATCACAAGCAAATGGTTCTGGTTGGTCTCTCCTTGCCTGTGTAATTCAGTGATCATTAGTTAAGAAATAGGAAAGGAAGTCAATCTGGGGACAAGACGGTGGTCTAAAATCACCAATAAAAATGGCCCAATGTTGAATTCCACTATGCATTTCTATGTATTTCTCAGACACAGAGCAGAACTAGAGTGCAAGACCAACTGCAGGTAGGGCAGACAGCTGTTCTGTGCACCTTATATGTGGGGGAAACATAAAAACACTTAGTAAACTATTGTGCCAGTTAATGGGAAAGTGCTTATTGACTAATACCCTTCATGTTTCTCCTAAAAGTGGTGACTTACATCTCTCAGAAGCAGTGATTTCACTCGTGTTGTATTTTTAAAACAACAGAAAAAAGATTTTTCACTTATCAATGACATTTTCTACTAAATGTATTCTCAAGATTATTACTAAAAATTTATTTCTATTTATCTAAGGTTGAATACCACCCTTTCCAAAGGCCTCAAGAGCTGGTCGATTATTGTAGGAGAAGGGATATTGTTTTTGAAGGCTACTGTCCTTTAGCCAAAGGTGAAGCACTTACTCATCCTAGTATCATTCAGCTGTCGAAGAAATATGGCAGAACTCCAGCACAGATTTGCATACGCTGGAGTATACAGGTAAGGGAGGGTGGTAATGAAAATGTATCTCTCTCAGGAAGAAAATGCAAATAGTTTGAGATTTAAAACCAGGATTTAGACAGAAAGTCTTTTTTGCCTTCAGTCTGCTGATATGGCGTGAACTAACTGTGCTGGATGGGAAATGTGGAGTGTAGCACAGAAAGCATGGTGGATTTTCAATATGCAAGTAATATAATTGTAGGGAATAAAAAGAACCACCACCAAAACAGATGGTTTCAAACTAAAATGTTGCAAGCAGTATGGGGCATCATTCCATTTCTATCGCTCAACATGAAGTAGTAAGCAGTGAAATAGCGTATTAAACTGACATAAACCACGTAATCTGTGTTGGAACGGAATGCATTGTATGTAACTGCAATTAAAAATAGCATCTAGAAATGTTAGTGTCCTCTGAGAAATCAAAGTAAAACCTCAGAAGACATGAGGAATGTCTTGAAATGTTTGGAAGAGAGATCATTTTCTTTGAAAGTATGTATATTTTTATGATGAGAAGCATGATGTGTTTCAGAATGGGATTGTCACTATTCCAAAATCCACGAAAGCGGAAAGGATAGAGGAAAACTGCAAGGTGAGATTTGGTTATGCGTTCAAGTCTGACTAACATCCCAGTTACTGCGTTTAATACTTAGGTTTGCCTGCCCCTTTTCCTAAGCCGGTTTTATAATGGGACAACTCAGTTAAAATTGGCAACTCATAGTACCATAAAATTACTACAGTATAGTAGAAACCAGTAATTCATGAATGTCAGAAATTAACTGGAGAGCTAATCACTGTGTATAAAAGAGATATCCACAGAAAGACCTGTTCACAGTTGATTTTTTAATTGTCAATATTTATCTTACTTATTACCTGGCTGACTGTGAAGCGTCCTAATCTCATTCTGGTTAGGTCCTTTTTGTGATAGGCACGTACGTCAAATGGAAGGAATCTGTATGCTGCGCATAACGCTATGAAAGCTGTAAAACTCTTGGGGACATCTGAAAGAGAGACTTCCTAAGGAAATGGCAGTCCTGCCAGAGCTGACTCTTCCTCTCCCTTCCTCCTACTCTACTTGAAGGAATGTTTGTAATTCATCACTTGTTTTTTCTCTCCAATTCTCTAAGTTGAAAGTGTGCTTTCTTTGGGGGAGGGGAAACCACAACCACCTTATTGTTACTTCCAAAATTACCACAGGGATATGAACTGTTCAGCAAATCAGGAAGAAACTTTGCAAGAAGATAGGAAGCCTCTGTCTGCTAGTTAAAGCACGCTGTGTGTGTGTGTAGGTGTAAATCAGCATACATGTAATGAGCTGTTTATATAGCTCCTATTTAACTTGACATGCACACTGCCTTCTGTGGTACAAGCACAGCTCTTTGTTGTACTGTATTGTGAACCAGAGCAGAGAACAAAACTAGGTGAAAAATCCTTCCATATCCATTTTATGTTATGTTATTTTATGTTATTTTATATATTTTTTTTCTTTCATTGTTTTATTTTCCCCAGTGGTATTTTAAATCCACATTAATTCTGTGTTTTACAGCATTTATTCTATGGGCCCACCAATTCATTTCACACAACTGAGGGAATGCACTGCAGCAGAATTTAAAACACTGCGGGTGGAGAGGAGGAAGGGAGAGTTATCAAATGCTGCACATCTCCCTTTGTTTGCTTTTTCTTTCCCCCAGGCCAGTGTGTTGGCCTGAGTCTCTTACCACCTCTAGTCACATTGGTGAAAGCATGGACCTCGCTAAGCCCCCAGTGCATAATATAGTATGTAGTATTTCTGGTTCTGTAACTGGTCCCTGGTTGGAGTTTAAAAAGCTGGAGCACTGAGGTTTTTCTAGAAGCGTCATTCCAGCAGCCTGTGGTTGCTGGATAATGCAGGATGGGAGGAGCTCATCTGGCAGCAGTTCAGGCTCCACAGGGTCTTTTAAGTGAGTATGGAGGAACTCTAACAAAGGCAACAGACCAACTTAAAGCAGCTTCAGCTCTGAAGCGATAATGTTCGAGTAAGGCACCTGCTGAGAAAACACTGACACCGTCATTCATGTTGCAGGTGTCGCGACAGGAGAAGTCAGTGGCTGTAAGAACCTGTGCATGAAGAGAGGTGGTTGCTTTCATGTTTGAGTTAGTATTGAGATACTATAGCACTGTATCTGCATCTGTATTAGCTGATCCATGAGTGTTTTGTCTATGTATGCGTAGAAAAGATAGATACAGCCTTTGCTTTGCTAGCTTTGTGAATGTCCTGATACGTTCTAGTAATTCTCTTTAGCTCAAGTTCTGAGGAAAACCACTGTAACACTGAACATTGGGATATAAGTGAAATACGGAGCTCAGGCTTCCAGAGGGATTGCAGTCAGGGCATTTATATACCTCTGGCAGCGACCATATGGCATGCTTTGGTACTACCACTGTCTTGGACCCATGCCAGAGGCCAGAGTACTATAAAACCATCTTCACAGAGTCTACAAATAAAAAATCACAGAATCATAGAATAGGGTTGGAAGGGACCTTAAGATCATCAAGTTCCAACCCCCCTGCCCTGGGCAGGGACACCTTGCACTAAACCACGTCACCCAAGACTCAATCCAAGGTGGCCTTGAACACTGCCAGGGATGGACTCACAAAAGAAGCAGAGAACCTAATGGAGCCTATCAACTTAATGGAATATTTGTCTGTGACAAAATATAAGAACTTCCAGAAGGAAATAAATAAATCTTGGTCAGTTTAAATAACAGGAGCACTCCTAATTCTCTCTATATTCATGTTAACTGTATATGCACTCCCACAGGTGTTTGATTTTACAATAGCAGAAGACGATGTTGAAGTTCTCAATGGACTGCATGATGGGAGACATGTTTCCTGGGACCCAAGCCTTGTTGTGTGAATGAAGGTTGGAGCTTTTTCCTTTGTCAGTGATCAGTGAGTCAGAGCACGTAACTTAAATTCAGGGAAGGGTACAATAACAATATAATTGTAAGATGAATAGCTGCTGTTAATGATAACTGAATTTGAAATCCTTAACGTTGACAACAGACAAAAAGTATTTTTGGGTGTAGCAGTTTTGTACAGAGATCTTACATGTCCATCTCAAATTCCGACCCCTAGCTTATTGGAGCCCATGCAAAGCCTCAGATTTATGCCATTGACTCTGCATCAGGCCATTTAATCAAAGAGCTTGAGTAGATAGCCCTTATTTAAAAACATAAGAAAAAATGCTACCTACTAGTGTACAGCCAGGTGTTAAGTGCAAAATAATTTGCCAAGAACCTTGTTAGAGGAATACAGTGTCCGAAGAAGAAAAAGCTGGGTGAAATGGTTCATACAATTTTTATTACAGTATTTATACTGTACAATGTACTGCAAATCTCTCTCAAAAATAGAATCTCATTGTAATAACCAGTATGAGAGCATCAACAAAAAGGTTTTATGCATATTATTGTGTGTGGCCTTGACCCAGAGAGTTCTATGCATATTATTTACTAGACTGTAGGTACAACAAAGTAGAAATCGTCCCAGAGAGGTTCATGTGCAGATAAGCTGTCTGCATGGCTAAGAGTTGAGCAGCAAGGTCTAAGAGGCATCTTTGTTATTATTGATCTTCTTCTCTTACTGGCAATTCTGGTGCATTTTGTGTAGCTTTTAGTGAGAGTTAGTTTAGCTTTCATTTGGGGTTTGTCCAGGAAATCTCTTTCCTTGCATTTCCTTGTAAAATATGTAGGAGAGATAGATATATGTAGTTTACAGATCTGGTTTGAGAAATATGCCTGCAGAGTGTTTTATCAGCTGAGTATTCAACTTCTAGTCACATTGGTTTGATATTTTAAGAGTTCCTGTGTCTAGAAAGGTATGGAAAATCTTACTGTGATTTATATTGTGTGTGGACTTCCTGAGGCAGTTTTCCCACTGCTGTTCTGCTTTAGTCATATCGTGAAACAAAGCTCCTCATTTTTTTTATCAAGAAGTGACTTACAGCAGTCATATATTCTAGCCTGCATTGTTTGGCTTTAGAGTGGAACTAAATAAAATCAGGTAAAATACCAACTTACCTTTTTCATAATAGCTCCTCAGAATTGTTGGCTAGTTTTTCCTGGTAAATAAGTTTTGTCTAGATCTGTCTCTGGAATCATTAATGTATTACTTACTTGAAACACAAGATCCTGTATGAAATGCTGCACTCATTAGTATCTGACACTATCTCCACAGTAAGTTTATTTCATAGAAGTGTGACTTGCAGCTTGAGGTGCTTTGGTACCTGAGAATGCCACTTGTGGTGTCTAAGACATACTAGAGCAGGTTGCTCCAAGTTCCGTCCAGCCTGGCCTTGAGCACTGCCAGGGATGGGGCAGCCACAGCTTCTCTGGGTGCCCTGTGCCAGCGCCTCAGCACCCTCACTGGAAAGAGCTTCTGCCTTAGATCCAACCTGAACTTCCCCTGTTTAAGTCCATTACCTACCCCTTGTTCTATTGCTACAGTCCCTGACAAATAAAGCTTTCCACCAGTGGTCATCAGCTAATCCTCCTTTTGAAAAGTCACTTTATGGAACAATACCTCAGCAAGATGAAAAAGACGACTTGTTACTGTGCTGTTTAGGGACTCCTTGCTTCACAGTGTAGCCAAATCCATAAAACGAGGGCTAGAAGTAAATCACATACTAAGTATTCCCTCAGTATGGCTTTTTGGCATTGAAGACTTTTGTAGAAAGGGGGGGAGTGAGTGAACGAGTTCCCTGACTGGGTTTAAACCACGACAAAGACTTTTGTAGAAGTTGGAGTTCTACCTCAGGTTCTCTCTAAGGAGACAGACATCACATCAGTGTACTATTTCCAACACAAATGATGCATACAAAAGGAACCAGTTCTTGATGCATGTTAGCAAATTTTAGCTTCAGTATTACAAAACCAATGCCAGTTAAGAGTAGTTACGTGGCCAGAAGTCCCATATTGGTCAGAACAGCTCTGGGTTTTCTGTGCTTAATTCTAACTGATCACCTGAGCTAAACAGAATTAAACCAGATTTTCTTGCTGATCCCCCATATAGATGACTTAAGGCTACAGTGAGGATTGCTTCCTAATTTATTGATAAATTTTCATTGTTGCCTGTGTCAAAGAATTTCACAGTGGGTTTTGTGCCTGCATCTGCTCTTGGTAGGAAGAGCCAGCATGTTCTTTGATCTGTATCATGGTATCTAAGCAGCACAAGGAGTAATAAAAGGAATAATCAGATAGAAATAGGAGTACTAAAAAAGCATTCTTCTTAAGGAGCAGTTGTGGCAAGTTACAGTTTTAATCTGATACTTACTAGCTATGCCCAGACTTACTTGTTGGTTCAAGTCTTTGTTTTGGGTTTTGATTTTCTTTTTTTCATTTTTTTGGGGGGGGGGAATTGTTTGGGTTGGAGTTTTCTGGTTAGGATTCTTTTATTGTTGGTTTGGGGGGTTTGGGGGTTTGGGTTGTGGTTGGTTGGGTTTTTTGTTGGTGGTTCTGGGGGGCGGGGGTATGATCTTTCCTAGCAATTCCTTTGCTACCAGGTAGTGGCTATAGAATGATGGGAGAGTTTAATTTTAACTATGTACTCAGTCAAGAGTAGGTTGAGGCAGTAGAAGCTTTTGAAGTGCCAGGACTCAGCTGACCCGTGCTATCTTTCCCCCAGGTGTGACATGCACATTTATTGTGCCATCACTAGTAGCCATTGTTTTCTGCTAGAAGCTGTAACTGCCCAAAGAGACTGGAACCATGTTATCTCCTGTGTGCTTGGGATATGTCACTGGAGCCTCTTCCTTTGAATACCTCATTCACGAGTATTAGGCCATGTTAGTTAATTTAGAATCATTGAGCAAATCCTCTTTTGGTTGGGTTGCAGAGGCAAAGACACAGTGGATTTGTATTTTATGCTCCTCTCTACAACTAAATTGACATCAGCGTTGTCATAGGTGGTTTTCCTTCTAAGCAAAAGATGCTGAAGAGCAAGTCCACATCACCTCATCTAAATGAACATTTCTGAAGTACAGACAACTTTGCTCATAGTATAGGGAAACATGATGGCTAGTAAGAAATTGGAAAGTGAACAGCAGTGAGATTTAGGGGTAGCAGTGAGGAGTGATATTCTGTAGGAGAAGCAGAACCTGGAAGACCAAAGGATTTAAATGTACTGAACTTAACAAAATCAGGAAGTTTAACCCCATTTTTGTTTGTTCTGTGGTCAGTTAGCCTGGAGGTGCTCATTTTGAAAGATTTCTTCTTTTAAACTCAGAATTCATCCTTCCAGTGAGTTCTTGGAATTGTATGGGCTGAAATTCCTCCTCTTTTCCAAATTTCTGTAAGATAAACTTTCTGTAGAGGGAAAGCTGTTTCGCCTTTATTCAATGCCCTTTTTAAGATACAGCAGTGCATCGTTTTATCAGCCTTTCCCATCATCTTGCCAAAAGGAACAGGGAATACACCTGAAAATAGAAGCAATTTATCTTCCATCTGATGCAGGCCACTGATGGTAGTGACTGATGGGGCACTCCTTTCTGGTTGTGATAAATCATTAGTTAAAATAAGATACAATTTCTCAGTGTTACCCGCCTCAGTGCAATCAGGAGCACTGTGGCTCTTAGTGGAAGGTAACTCTTGAAACAAATAAGGAAAGGAAAAGAATAAACTGAAAGTCAGTGGAAAGGGTGAGGCTGTTTTCTGTGCAGCTCTAGCTTCCTGTCTGACTCGGAGTGGCTCCCTCTCCTATTTCTTGCCTGTTTCTGATTCTTTGTCTTATTACTGGAGGTGGAGGCACCGAAGAACATTTAATTGGAAAAGAATCAAAATGGTTTTGTAAAGTGCATGCTTTAGGACACTTTTTCTTAAATCAGGCTGCAGAAGCCTGTTTACTACAGCTGTTCCCCACTGTGTATAGGTAAGAAACTAATACCAATAAATGTACAAATCCACCAAACCAAGCAAACTGCATCGTGTTCCATTTGCTGAAAACCACCTCTTCTTGTCCTGTGGTTAACACCAGCTGATTTTCTTTTCAAAAGAGCAGTGCTGTCTGCCGTCTTGACAGGAAAGCTGTTTTTGAAGGTGGGGATAAGGGGTAGTACCTCTTGCTGACACTGAGTTCAAGCAGTTCACACTTTCCACACTGCCACACCCCTTCCAAAGCTTTGAAGCTCATCTCTGCCTTGAGTGCCTTGGGTAGAAGTAACAGAGAAGCCAACTTTCTGGCCATTTTTTTGTGTTGCTGTGCTGCATCTTTTTCTTTACTTCATCTTTTTGCAGCCTCCATTCAGATGTCTGCTCTTTTGAAAGAAACTGTGGAGGATCCATATCTTCCATTTTTCATCTAAATGATGCAGCGTTACTATTTGTCTTTATGAATGGCTGCTTTGATGTGTTTGCAACGTCACCCAGGACTAAGTGCAACTGCCAGGGCATTATAAAATTGTAATGACTTTGAAGGGACCAGAGCATGGGAACTATCTCAATTTGTGGCACTAGCCACTGGGGGAGAAGAAGAGCACAAACCCTGAAATGAATTTAAATCAATGGTGCTGATGCTGCTTCCCAGTGATAGGACACGCGTCACTCCGTAAACTATTGCAGGCATGGCCAACATTATGGGATGTGCTTCTGTAAGCAGCTTTGCATAGATCCATCACACCAGATCTCAATCACTGTGCCAGAGATGAATATTTATGATATTAGTAGTGGCTTTGCTGGCCAGTGCCCTTTGAGAAACATTCTGTAGCTGAACTACTCATAGGAAAATCAAGAGTGCATTAACAGCATTATCATCATGGTTGCTTTTTTTTTTTTTCTCCAGCAAAATAGATTTCCAGGACTTTCTAGATGAGGCATCAAAATTCCAGGATATAGAACTAGTGTTGGGTTCCTAACTTGGCTGTGAAATTTGGAGGCAGAGAAGTGTACAATTGTTTTCACAATTTCGTGGTAACAAGGGGAGCAGAAATTGTTAGGTAGGGATTTTCATTCCTAGTAGTGAGTTCATTCTTTCCTAATGGTTGTCCATGACCTGGTTTCATCCCATTGAATATCCATAAGTATAGTGTTGCCAAAATGAATTTATAGTAAATCACTTGCTTTGGGTAAAGGTGGAGGAAGATTAATCTGAAGCATTGGTGTCAAGGTCAAACATATCCTATGGTACAAATTCACTTTCCTGATGTTGAAAAATATGTATTTTGTGGAGTTGTTATATTAATGAAACAGCAACCAGCCATTTTCTATCACATCGTTTGTGACCTTTTTTGCATGATTATCATTAATGCCTTATAAACTGCATATAAAGACAGGGAGTTGGAGCAAGATGATGTTAAGGTCCTTTCCAACCCAAACCATTCTGATACTATGATATAAATACCTTTGATTCATCTGAAAAATGATCACAGGTAATTTTGGTTTGGTTTTGTTTTCAGGAAATGGTTATTTCACTGCTTCTCCCCCCCCCCAAGTATTGCAGATAAGTAAGATCTGTAATCTGCCAAATGATTGCAAAGTTTCCATCTAAGACTTGTGTTTCTTCAGAGCAGCATATTAAGTTCACTTTATCATGTCCATTAATGTCTTTAGATTAGCAGAAAATGTGCATTAAGATTATAATTGATGGATTCATATCACTGGAATAAAAAATTAACCTCCAGAAAGTTTTCTAATGTTGCATTATACAGTTTTGTTAGTGTAGAAGTATGTATTTTAATACATATGAAGAAAACATCTCTCATGATTAGATATATAAACGCGTGGTATGGATTTGGGTGCAATAATACCCATATTGCATGTCACTTTCTCAACTACTTCAATGCTTTCCACTTGGGCTTAAACTTTTCCTAATGTTATGCTCAGTTTAGTGATCTAAAAAGGAAGTCCAAATTCCCACAAAAATGAATCCAGTAAACTTTTTACAATACCCTTTTAAAACAAAGAAAAAAAAACATTTACTAATCAATATCAAGAACTTAAATCCAGACCACCTAAAGTATAAAATGATAATACTAAACAGATGTCTGCTTTAGTCTTTGCAATGTTCTCATCTCTTCTTTTTCTTTTTTTCCTCCAAACCAGGTTTTGTATTTTAATCTGAAGGGAGAGGATCTGGAATTTTTGAACACTCTGAATATCAACAGAAAATCGATTCCTGCAACCTGTCCACTGTGGAAAGGATAATTTAACCCCAGATGGTCTTATACTGCAGAAATGATGCAACCGAAGCATTGATTCATTTTAAACTGAGCAGTAAATCTAATTTGTTCTGCTGGGTACTCAGTACCTAATAAATATCGATCAAAAATCAGGATCAATGGCTTGTATTTACTGTTACGTTAACAGATGAATAAAATAATTTCCTTTAGACTTTACTCGCTGCATGTACTTCATTTAAGGTGTCATTTGAACCAATATGAACAATTTTCTTTGCTTTTCTTATGACTTTTGAAGAGTATTAGTTACTTAAAGGAACATATAAGAGCATGCTGCAGGACATGGAAATCACCAGAAATACCAAAAACACAGAATATTTGTTCTGGGATTGCAGCAGAAATCAGAATCTGACTTTTTTCCACTGTTTTATACATTTCTTCTAGTCATGAGAACTTTGGGGGATTCTGCAGGCCACTCTTGGGACTTTCACAGAATCATAGAATCCCAGAGTGGTTTGGGTAGGGAAGGACCCTAAGATCATCCAGTTCCAACCCCCTGCCATGGGCAGGGACACCTCACACTAGACCATGTCACCCAAGGCTCTGTCCAGTACAGCCTTGAACACTGACAGGGATGGGGCAGCCACAGCTTCTCTGGGCAAGCTGTGCCAGTGTCCCACCACCCTCACAGGGAAGAACTTCCTAAGATCTAACCTGAACCTCCCCTGTTTCAGTTTCTTGGTGAGCAAAACCATTCTGTTTGTACTGTTTCAAGGATCTCCTGTCTTGACCTAGCGCATCAGGCAGTAATTGGCTCTGGTTTGTGGCCTAAGTTGCCTCAGAATGAGTGAAAGTACTTTTTGCTTATATAAAGGTTTTTGCAGAAGAGTGAGAGGTTGGAGAAGAGCCCTTTGATAATGTGTTTTGAGGGGATTTTCTGTATCTTTTCAGGATGGATCATGTTCAGACACTCCTCTGATGCAACTGTGAGTTGGCCAGCAGTGCTAGCACTAAGAGAGGATGCTCTTCTGATGGTGTCAGAGCACACAGCCTTTGGGAGGACCCCAGCGTGCAACTTCTTTTCTGACAAGATCAAAGCATTTTCCGGCAAGGAAATTGCCCTGGAATTGACCAGGTTTCTGAAATCCACACCACACTAAGTTCTCACTGGAAATTCCACAAGAACTTTGGTTGTCAGAAACGATTTTTGTTTGGTTTTTTGCCATGCCCCAAATCACGAGTTTTTACTCCTCCTAAAATTCAAGTATATAAGGGCATATACATACTCAGGATGCCTGTGAACAAAAGTGTCTGCCTCTTTATGCTTGTGGACACATTGCAGAAACACTTTTAAGCAGTTTACCCGGGTCAAATGGCTGTTAATATGGCTTTGGTACCCTGAAGTGCTCAGCCCTCCTGCTCGCATTCCACCCAGACCTGCATTTGGCTTATTCTTGCAGTAGCGCATGAATGATGTTGTCCTTTCTCCTTATTCTTACTACAGGCAATTCCAGAGCTGAGTTTTTAAAGGACGTGTATACACATTGGATTTCTGTGGTGTATTTCACAGAAGGATGAGCTTCCTCAACCCGAGCTGTGGCCACTGGGGAGGTACTGAAGAAAGAGTTCCTGTTCTGTTGGTGGGGATGGAGTATAACCCTGGTGTAAAGCGCCTCACTAAACGCTCCCCAGCATACTTTTGGTAGAGGTGGCTGGACCAACCTGAATTTCCCTCAGTTGTATTTCAGCTATTGTAAGCAGGCTGGAACCTGCGCAGCCAAGCCACGTGCTAACCTGTCATTTCTGAGGTTTTGGAGAGCCTTCAGTGCAAATCCAGTCGATGGGGCTTCATTTCCCTGACAAGGATGAAGCTGCATTTCAGCTCTGTCTCTGCTGAGATGTCAAGAGGGCTACAAATACGTATGGTCAGCTAATTTTAATGATGCTTATTGTGATACAAACACCCAAGTGTTCAGAGTGGAACTGAAATTGCCCTGGTATATTGCACAGCCTCTAACAAATAAGTAGTTAGATGTCCCATCTCTGAGTTGGAGCCCTCACAGTTGGTTAACCAATAACCTAAACATGAAAGCCTGTACATCTGACTACTGAAACCCTGAGTCACTCTATCCTTTTTAATTAAAGCATGTTCCTTTAATGTGTTCCTGTTGCTTGAAATGGTGAGAATTATTTCCTAGAGGAAAATACCTAATGAATGCACCTTTAGTTAGTATTTTCTATCAATTAGCTAAATAAGGGGGGAAGCTTGAACTATCTAGGGTATGTCAGGCAGTTGCAGGGGGTGCATATGTCAACCTCAGGCATGATTTATCTGACATGCCTGTTCTGACAGTTGTAATTTAACGGCTGTGTTTTCCTCCCAGGCTTGCAGGAGGCTGAACATCTTTTCAAGTTTCTAGCTTTGTGGTGGCAGGGTAAATGTCTGTTTGCCAGTGTCATTTATCTGAGTCATTCCGGGAGAGGCGTGGAGCAATTGAAGCGTGACTATTAGCATAAATAAAGAGAGGGACACCCTTCCTGAGAGTAGTTACTCTCACCGTCAAAGCCAACAACTGCTACTGCTTATGGTGCGATGCGACGTGAACTGAAAGACCTAATACAGTGAGCTCTGCTCTACTGTGACATTCTTTTGCATTGCAGTTTGAAATGGAGTTAAAGAGAACAGAGCAAGGAAGGAAGAGGAGAAATTGTGCAGTAAACACAACAGATTGCCACTGGAGTTAGCATTTCATGTACACTGAGTGGGGGGTTCTTCCAAAAGTTTGAAGAGAGAAGGAATTATAAACCCTAAGCTCACTTCTTAGTCTCTGTATTCTCAGTGCTAAGTAGCTGTCATTGCCAACTTCGGTTTGACAAACAACTTTAAAACTTTTCTTTGTGTTTTCAAACACGTGGGTTTCTTACGGCACGCTCGGAACAGTGGAAGATGCGGTTTGCACATGGGAACACCAACCCGTGGTGATGTTTGACGGTGTCACGGGGCGAGTCCCTGCCCTATACCCCCCTCCTTCCCCCGGTACCCCGGGGCTCCTACGGGCTCCGGGGAGCCGCGGGCGAACGCGCTTCTCTTCCCGGCCTGAACCGTGCGGATGGGGAGGAGCCTCTTCCAGGTATTTCCTTAAGCACTACTTACACCGTCCCTCGGGAGCGAGGGCGGGGGTGGCTCTGGGGAGCCTTGCTTTGGCCTTATCCCTGTGGCTCCTGCTCGGAGCGGTGCGAGCGGGGCTGGGGGCGATGCCCTGCGGCATCCCCAGCTCGCGTTCCCCGCCTGCTCCCGGCCGCGGGGCGGGTCCCGGCGCGAAGGGCCGTCGGACGAGCCGCCCCGCAGGGAGGAGTTAGAAAGGAACGGGGTGGGGAGCGGCAGCCGCACGAGCACTAAAACCAGCGAGCCCCCGGCCCAGTTGCAGGAGTTGCTCAGCGGACGCGCAAGATGCGCAGTGCCGGCGGGGGCTCCGCGCCGCGCTTGAGCGAGGTGAGGCTCGGGGTTCGCGCACCGCCGCTCGCGGAGCAAAAGAGGTGGGGGGGCTGCGCGGTACCTGCCGAGCCCGGCCTGCGGCCGCGTCCCGCGCAGGCGGGCGGAGCGGGACCCGTGGGCGCTATAAACGGGAGCTGTGCGAGCAGCAGGCGGGGAGCGGTGCGGGTTGGAGCCCGGGAGCTGTGCGAGGTGCGGGACAGGAGCGGTGCAGGCGGCAGATCGGGAGCGGAGCAGTGAGGGAGCGGTGCAGGACCGGTGTGAGTTCAGGCTTGTACCTCCTGCTTTACCCCGCTTGGGCTGTGATTTAACAACTGTGCCTGTTCTTGCGAGATTTCACATCTTTAGTTCTCTTTAAATGTCCACTAGAACGTGTTCATGTGTAAAGGGAGTTTCCTCCGTAGCTGTACTCCTTCATCATGCACGTTTCAGAAGTTTGCAAGGCTAATTATTCAACTGCAAAGTGCTTTCTTTTGCCGTTCTTTGTTCCAGACCCACAGAAAGGGCTTGCTACCTGCCTTATTTACATCTTTTTTCTTGACTTCTCTAAACTTTTTTTTTCCATGTAAAGCATATTCTTTTAGTTAGCAAAGACACTCCTTTCCCCTTTACAGCTTTGAGATGATCTTTTGCTTACATATACACATCAGTGAATTCACCACTGTTTGAGGTGGCATCAGTAAATGGCAGAATTGCCCCTTCCACAGCGCAGTCAGACTTTACTAACGGAGGGAATACAGGTTAAGTAATTCCTGAGCAGGCTTTCACACATTTGCAGTTCAATCAGATCAAAACGTTTCCCTTTCTGAATCTCTGCTGTCGTGTTACAAGGTGTGTTTCCTACTGAAGAAAAAGTTTCACTCGAACTTCTTGCTGGGGAGCTTTGAGCTCTTTCATGTTGGTAGGAGTCCCGTAACACAGTCCCCGCATTTTCCTGCTTGGCTCTGCGTGGCAGGACTTTTTTTGTTTCATTAACCTATTCAGTAGTCCTAAATCACCTTTTAAGTCTATTTCTTTTAGCAGCCGAACAAAAGCAATTCCTGTGTGAATACGTTTGTTACTCTGATCTACAACTGGGCAAGCAGGTGATAAACTGGTATCATTTATTGCCTTGTTTGCCTGCCCCTGTTAACCTGTCTGTCTCCTGTTGCCAGGGCTGCTGGTTCTGAGGTTGTGCAGCAGTTCGGGGCCAGCTGCTGGGCCAGTATCACTCTTGGCATCACCATGAGCTTTGGCACCACTGCGCCGCTGAAGGTCGTCAGCAACCTCGCCAACACCGATGTCAACTATGTCATCAAAGAGCACTATAATTACACAGGAAAGCTAAATGAGAATGCGGACAGTGGAATAAAAGTGACGTCGGTGGTTTTTATCATCATTTGCTGCTTTATAATCTTGGAGAACATTTTTGTCTTGCTCACCATCTGGAAAACCAAGAAGTTTCACAGACCCATGTACTATTTCATTGGGAATTTGGCTCTTTCAGACTTGCTGGCTGGCGTGGCCTACACTGCCAACCTCCTGCTATCTGGACACAAAACGTATAGCCTCACTCCCTCCCAGTGGTTTGTAAGGGAAGGCAGCATGTTTGTTGCCTTGTCAGCTTCTGTGTTCAGCTTGTTGGCCATTGCCATTGAGAGATACATCACTATGCTGAAGATGAAACTCCATAATGGCAGCAACAGCTTCCGCTCCTTCTTGCTCATCAGTGCTTGCTGGGTTATCTCTGTGATCCTTGGGGGACTGCCGATCATGGGATGGAACTGCATCAACCTCCTGTCCAACTGCTCCACTGTGCTGCCCCTCTACCACAAGCACTATATTCTCTTTTGCACCACTGTTTTCACCGGCCTTTTGTTATCTATTGTCGTCCTCTATTGCAGGATCTACTCCATGGTGAGGACTAGGAGCCGCAGGCTGACGTTTCGGAAAAACATTACCAAAGCTACCAGGAGCTCAGAGAAGTCACTGGCCTTGCTCAAGACAGTGATCATAGTCCTGAGTGCCTTCATCGTCTGCTGGGCTCCCTTGTTCATCCTGCTTTTACTGGATGTGGGGTGTAAAGTGAAGTCCTGCCCGATCCTCTACAAAGCAGAGTATTTCTTAGTACTGGCTGTGCTCAATTCAGCCACAAACCCTATCATCTACACCTTGACAAACAAAGAGATGCGGAGGGCTTTCATCAAGATTCTGTGCTGCTGCAAATGTCCCCCGGCAGATTCTGGGACCAAATTCAAAAGGCCCATCATCGGAGGGATGGAGTTCAGTCGGAGTAAGTCTGACAACTCCTCCCACCCGCAGAAGGAGGAAGGGGACCATCCTGAAACCATCATGTCTTCAGGCAATGTTACCTCATCTTCTTAGGAGTAACTATGGGGGTATATTACAGAGCTGTTCTCTGAGATGGGGGGGCTGAGAGGCCTCCTGCTCGTGGCGGCAGCGTTGGGCTAAGTGAGCGAGTAGCATTAGTTCTAGCGAGGCAAACGGTGCACTTGCAAGGCTGGAGGTCAAGAAATGGGACAGACTGTTCTGGCTTGAAAATCTCTTTTCCCTGGAGCGTGTTTTGTCTTTGCACTGAGGCAGTTCAGGATTGTCAGGCGCATTCGTAGCCTGAAGTCTCCTTAGTAACTCTGAAAGACTGATGCCTTGGTGAAATGATGCCTGGTGCGTGTGGGAGAAAAGGAGAGGGGGAGGAGGGAGAGGGAGAATGAATCTTTCTTGTTTTTTTCCCCCATGTGAGAAGAATGTGAAGTTATTTCTCTTTTACTTGCAGCAAACCACTGACACAAAGGTCTTTCTGTGCTGAATCTAGTGGTGGCTCTGGCATAGTCGGTCAAAAGTGTTTGATTAGCACATAACAAGAAACAAGAGCACACAAATATAACTTAGGCTGTGTACAGCTGTAATTTGGCATCACTTTCCAGAGGTTTTAGTTCATAAGGTGTTATTTGCAGAGTCCAAAGCTGTTGAGGTTTTATTTAGCCAGATCATAGCTGTGAATTTTTGCTGTCAGCCCATATTACACTTGCAGACCAGGAGCCAACAGTTACTTTCACCTGTACAATTCCACTGACTGCATCGGATTCTATGGAGCAGCTCAGAGCAGCATTTGGCCCCATATGTTGACTGCCTTGTTATTCTGTAGCATTAAATAAACTGCATTATCCTGACAAATGCAAGGTAGAACTAAAGGTCATTTCTCTTTAATATGGCTGAAAGTGAATATAATAGTAGAAGATACACAATTGACGACAGCAGGATTTTTGCCTGAGAAAGAAGAGTTAAAAGCAGAAGGGGTGTTTCAGTGTCAGGTTCATATTCTTTCCAAAGGAAAAGATCTGGAAAGAGTATCTTGGCTTTCAGAAGAGCATATTAAAGTTGAAGTGAAATGACTATAGATAAATGCACTTCCATAACAAAATGCAATACATTTTGGCACATTTAATTAATGTTTATCATTTCAGTAAAGGTGTATTTTGTCAGTTCATGGAAGAAGTACCTGTCATTAAATTGAATGTATACGTTTTACAGCATCCTTTTTATTTCTGTTTTTCTAACCTGTGCTAATGGGGTTGAATGTGTACAATGTAAATAAGTTAATAAGATGCAGGAGTCTTCATGTGCCTAGAGTATTACTATAACAAAAGTGATATATCTGGGATAGCTGAG